AAAAAAAAAAGGAATGTGTATGGATTTCAGCTAGATATTTATTGTGCAAATCCCTCCCCAATGTTCTTGCTTCCAGCTTATCTCCTCCTTTTATCAAAAGGGAACTTGTTGTAGATAAGAGGGTATGGCTTACTATTAAAAATGCTGTCAAGTGATGAAAATAAAAAAAAAAAAAAAAAAAAAAAAGAGAAGAAGCAGTAAGAGCTACCACTCCGGCAAATGTGGACAGAAGGTCACCTGGATTCCTGGTTTATTCATCTGGGATGCTAAATTCATTGGCTCCCTCTCCAAGGCTTGCAACATCCGGAACATGTCAACAGTTAATTCACTGAATTTAACCTGAAAGAAAAATATTACCTGATCATTAATGTAATAAGCAGACTTCTGATCTTTTTTTGTTTTTTAAATTTTTTTCAAGACAGGGTTTCTCTGTGTAACCCTGGCCGTCCTGGGACTAACTCTGTAGACCAGGCTGGCCTTCAACTCACATGGATCCACTTGCCTCTGTCTCCCTAGTCCTGGGATTAAAGGTACGGGCCACTACCTCCCAGCGGAACTTCTGGTCTTTAATCACATTACTCTTGATTTTCAAATATACTTAATAACAGCTGATTTTTAAAATAGAAGTTATATCTTTCTCCCCTTCCCTTCCCTTCCCTTCCCTTCCCTTCCTCTAAACCCTCTAAACCCATGTACCACCTGCCTTGTTCCTTCTTGAAATCATGGCCTCTTTTTCTTTAGCTGCTATTGGTGTATGTGTTTATGTGTGTGCATCTAAATAGATAAATACAACCTGCTCAGTCCATTTAGTGCTACTTATATGTATATGATTTCACAGCTGACCACTTGGTATTGGATAAACAATTAGGAAGTATACCCCTGAGGAGGACTATTCTTCTAGAGTCAGCTTTCCTTAGTTGCCTGCTGTTCTTTGTCTATGGTGGGTTGGGATTTTTGTTTGTTTGAGATAAGTTCTCACCAAGTTTCCATGGCTGACCACAATGGCCTTGAACTCAGAGAGCCTGCTTTTGCTTCCTAAGTGCTGGGATTAAAGGCATATGCCACCAAGCCCAGAGACAGCTCATATTTTTTTCTCGAATATTTAATTACAAGACTTTCAAAAGGCAAATGTGGCAAAAGAAATGTGCCTATGCTCACTATCTGCTTTGTATAATTAACAGTGTTTAGGGTGCTCATAATGCATCAATTTCCTCAAATGGATTTTAAAGAGCAACAAAAGTTACAAAAACAGTCCTACAAAACATGGTAATATTTGCTTAAGCTGAGCTACGTCTGGGTTCATACTTTATAATCTCTTCAATGTTTGGCACTACACAGCATTTAAGAGTGCATCCTTCTCATGAGGCTAGAGAGATGGCTTAGCAGCACTGGCTGTTCTTCCAGAGGACCTGGGTTCAATTCCTAGCACCTACATGGCAGCTCACACCTGTCTGTAACTCCAGTTCCAAAGCTTCTGACACCCTTACACAGACATACATACAGGCAAAACAATAAACATTAAAAAAAAAAAGTGCATCCTTCTCTATTTTCAATGACACTTATGCAGAAGATCTTGGAACATGTGATGACAGAGCCAAGAGGAGAGGTTTATAAAGTTATCTGCTTCTATAAAATAAAACAGAAATGTTTTAGGTAAGGTATTTGTTTACAAAGATTACTGAATGAAGTTTCAAAACTGTACCTCAGACTAGGTGTGGTGGCACATGCCTTTAATCCCAGCACTTGGGAGGCAGAGGCAGGTAGATCTCTATGAGTCTGAGGCCAGCCTGTCTACAAAGAGAGTTCTAGGACAGCCAGGGCTACACAGAGACCCTGTCTCTAAAATCAAAACAAAAATGTACCTCATTCATACATACATAGTATAGTGCTAAGGATCAGGCTTAGGGGCCTCATGCATGCTAGGCAAGAGCTCTACCATTAAGCCACACCCTAATCCCATTTAATATCTCTCTTAGCTGATCAGCAAAACTCTGTTTCTCCTCATCCAAAATTTCACATAATAAAAAGAAATAAAAAAAATTATCAATCAAAATAATTAATACAGGTATTTCTGAAAACATTTAACATTTCAACACACCACTGAATTTCCAAAACTTATAAAACTGCACCACAGCCCCAAATTGTTCATAACCCACCACCTCTACATGAGAACGAAACAAGTTCTGGATCAGAGCAAGAAGACAACAACTTGGCTTTCTGTCCTTTCATTGTCAAAGAGGAGGTAACTGAGAGCACTTTTCAGGACAAAACCAATGCTAGCAGCTTCACTCATTCTTTTTTCCTATTTGTTTGGACAGGATGGCCTAAACATCTACTTCTGCCTTCCAAGGGCTGTGATTATAGGCATGTGCCACAACACTTAGCTTTTTTTGTGTTCTAAGGAACAAACTCTAAACATTGCACAATTACAGTTTCTTATTTTCCTATTTCTGAGGTGGTCTGCTAGTTTGGTTATTCTTTTTTATTTATTTATTTATTTTTTTTTTGGTTTTTCGAGACAGGGTTTCTCTGTAGCTTTGGAGCCTGTCCTGGACTAGCTCTGTAGACCAGGCTGGCCATGAACTCAAAGAGATCCACCTGCCTCTGCCTGTGTGCTGGGATTACAGGCGTGTGCCACCACCGCCCGGCTAGTTTGGTTATTCTTTTGTTTTTAAAGACAGGGTCTTGCTGGGCATGGTGGCACATGCCTTTAATCTCAGCACTGGAGAAGCAGAGGCAGGCTCAGTTCAAACATGCTCTTCATCTCAGCATTTGCAAGGCAAAGTTCAAGGCCAGCTTGGTCTACATAAAGAGTTCTAGGACAGCTAGAGCTACATAGTGAGATTGCGGTCTCAAAAATTAAAAAAAAAAAAAAAAAAAAAAAAAAAGCCTTGTTAGGGATCATTGCCCAGGCTGGCCTTAACTTACAGTAATACTTCTGCCTCTGCAATCCCAAGAGCTTCGATTATAGGTGTGTGCCATCACATCGAACAGAGCTACCACTATTAAAACCTACTGTCATGTCAGCAAAACACATACGTTCCATACTTCCACACTTCTTTTTTTTTTTTTTTTGGTTTTTCGAGACAGGGTTTCTTTGTGTAAGCTTTGCGCCTGTCCTGGAACTCACTCTGTAGACCAGGCTGGCCTCGAACTCACAGAGATCTGCCTGTCTCTGCCTCCCAAGTGCTGGGATTAAAGGCGTGCGCCACTACTGCCCGGCTAAGTTCCACACTTCAAGCCTTATTGGCCTTTGTCTAACCCTGGATGTTCTAGTACTGGCTCAACTCCCTTCAGTTCTTCAGCTCCTTACACTCTAGCCCTAACATGTTTTTTTCTTTTGTATTTTTTTTTTCTTTTTAAGAAAGGGTCTCGGGGGCTGGAGAGATGGCTCAGAGGTTAAGAGCACTGACTCTACCAGAGGTCCTGAGTTCGATTCCCAGCAACCACATGGTGGCTCACAACCATCTGTAATGAGATCTGGTGCCCTCTTCTGGCCTGCAGTCATAATGCTGTATACATAATAAATAAATAAATCTTTAAAAAAAGGAAAGGAAGAAAGAGAGAGAGAAAGAAAGAAAGGTGACTACAGCCAAAGGTGACTTCCTGCTCCACCTTACACAGTGCTGAGGTTATAGTTGTATGCCACCAGACCCCATTTTTGTAGCTTTGGGACTGGAAGTCAGGGCTTTATGAGCAGATAGGCACTCTACCAATTGAGCAACATCTCAGCCCTCACTAGTGCTTTAATTATTCTCTTAATTCTTAACAGGTGGATTTTTTTCCTAGGCCAAACCATGGAAGCAGGGTCACCCAAGGAACAGCTTATATCATATATACAGCTGTACAATAAGGCAAAATATAAAGGTCACCTTTCTTTCCTTCCATGTGCCATGATGTATCAATGCTATGAGCTGTACCTTCTAAGTATCTGTGGAAACCAGCCTTGCAGATCTACTATTACCTCTGTTCCTGTAGCACAAGGAAATAGTACCACTCACTGAGATTTCTGTGAGTTTCCTAACTTCTCTGCCAACTCCATTGTGTCTTTATTCTACTCTGTACAATTACAACTAAGACGATCCTCTCCAGGGGAGGTGGGTGAACAGCAGCAAAGTATGTTGCTGTATCTACATGTGTCTATATGTAATATGCAAGTGTCATAATGAAACCTATTACTTTGACAACGAAAACCTAAAAAACAGTAAGTAATAAAACAGTTAATGAAAAACTACCTTCTCAAAATGCAGCCTTCACCAGCTCCTGTCCTTGCCCTGGGCCTTTGCTATTTCCTATGACTTGGGAAAAGACAGCCTTCCTGGCTTTTTCTTGTGCTTCTCCTTCTCTCCATACCACTCTCCCAAGTGTGGCCTTCTACCAGTGTCTCATCTTCGCAGGCCACCAGGCTCAGACACTAACACAGCTGTTACTACTGCTTGGCATGCTTACTCTGGACAACTTCTTACTCTCTAGTAAAGTACTAAACCAAAGCACTTTCTCAGAAAACACCCCATCATCTCTCAAACTAGCTCAAATTCCCTGATACCAGACATCAGAACAGCACACCTCTCCTTTCCCACATCTGTTGAAATTATATTATCTAAGTAGTTATTTTGTTAATTGTTTTTACAGGTGAACAGGAAGATCCATCAGTGAAGGCACTTTGTCTTTTTTTTTTTTTGGTTTTTCGAGACAGGGTTTCTCTGTGTAGCTTTGCGCCTTTCCTGGAACTCGATTTGGTGACCAGGCTGGCTGGCCTCAAACTCACAGTGTCTGCCTGCCTCTGCCTCCCGAGTGCTGGGATTAAAGGCGTGCGCCAGTACCGCCTGGCTTTGTCTTTTTTGATACATACAAACACCCCCCCCCCCCCCCACCCCTGGAGATGTGACAGATGCTTCATAAATACTGACTGGGCTGGAGATGTAGCTCAGTGGTAAATTAATAAACTAATAAGCATCTTCCTATGTCATTAAAAATTCTTTCTCAACAATGTCAAAGTCAATATTATATATCCAAACATGGTATAATGGATTTAACCATTCCTCACAGATATTAGGGATTTTCCAAGGGAAAAGATCCCATGATGCACAAAACTAACCTTTACAAAGTGAATTTTAAGCATAATTCCTTCATAGTTCTTTACCTGATTATTACAATTACCAATAATGAGTGCATCAGCTAGAGACAACTGTCCCACAATCATGCCTTGCTCTAGCAACGGAGCTCCTGTTTCAGCGAGGCGATTGGATGTGATAACAATGGTGTTATCATCATTTAACACCATCACAGGGTCCGCCTGAAGAAAAAGAAGCACATTAAGGACAACACAGAATATCACTGTTATTTGTTCTTCTCAAAGTCACATATACACCATGAACACGCAACACAGTCATTTCCCTATCTGTGATTGTGACAACCTTTCTCTCAAGAAATTACCTCAACAGGCTGGGCATGGTAGAGCACGCCTTTAATCTCAGCACTTGGGAGGCGGAGGCAGGTGGATCTCTGAGTTTAAGGCCAGTGTGGTCTATAAAGCGAGTTCCAGGATAGCCAGAGCTGTTATACAGAGAAACCCTGTCTTGATAAATATAAATAAATAAATAAATAAATAAATAAATAAATAAATAAATAAATAAATAAATAAATTACCTCAATAAATGCTGCCACCTCTTGAAGCACCAGGTTCCACTCTACTTGATCTTCAGTATTAAAGCGATGAGTATAATCTTCAATTTCATCAGACAATTCCTGGTATTAGAAATACCACGAAGAAAAAGGGTTGTTAAAAATCTCTATAAAAAGGCAAATGAGATGGCTCAGCAGGTAAATGTCCCTGCCACCCAGCCTAACAACCTGAGTTCCATCCATGGAACCCAAGCAGTAAAATGAGAGAACCAATTCCTACATGTCCTCTGACCTAATGCCTATGTATTACTATGTTTGCATATGCACTCACACACAATAAATAAATGAATGCAAAAAAATTTAATTTTGACAACTCTACCCCAGGTCTACCAGGGGTGGGAAGAATTATACCAATGAGCCCACCACCTCTGGCGCCGGGCACCATTATGGTGAGTGGCAAAATGGGAGAGAGACTGTGGGGCAGTACAATTTATGTGCAGGGGAGAGAGGCAGATCTGAAGAGGAGAGGTGAGAAATGGGCTGAGGTAGATGCCCTGCTTGCTAACCAGGGTCATGGTGATGTCTCAGCCTTGGATGTGGCCAAGGGCCATGACTTGGTCTATGACCCTAATATAGCTGAGGGGGTCTGTGTTGAGTCCGAGGCTCCTGATAGCACTGAGGGCCCTGTGGATGCTGGAGTCTGGGCCACTACTTGTGACTAAGCTGATGTCTAAGGGATGTGCCCCATCATGGGGGGCCATGCTGATACAGGATCAGTTTGCCGCCAAGCCTCAAGATTGAGGCAGGAAGACTGTCAATTTTACAGACAGCCTGGGTTACATAATGAGTTCCAGGCAGCAAGGGCTGTCTCTGTCTCCCAAGTGCTGGGATTAAAAGCATGCAGTACCATACCTGGCTAGATTATAGTTATTTTAAAATACATTTAGGCCGGGCGGTGGTGGCGCACACCTTTAATCCCAGCACTCGGGAGGCAGAGGCAGGCAGATCTTTGTGAGTTCGAGGCCAGCCTGGTCTAGAGAGTGAGAACCAGGAAAGGTGCAAAGCTACACAGAGAAACCCTGTCTCAAACCCCCCCACCCCCCAAAAAAAACCACCACTAAGAAATACATTTAAGCCGGGCGGTGGTGGCGCACGCCTTTAATCCCAGCTCTTGGGAGGCAGAGCCAGGCGGATCTCTGTGAGTTTGAGGCCAGCCTGGGCTACCAAGTGAGTTCCAGGAAAGGTGCAAAGCTACACAGAGAAACCCTGTCTTAAAAAACAAACAAACAAACAAACAAACAAAAAAACCCAAAACATTTATAATCTCAGCACTAGAGAGATTGATTCACAGAATTACAAATCCAAGATACTGCTTCATTTTAAAAAAAAAGCCTATTTACCTTTACCAGATCTTTCACTACATCCATTTTGTTAAGAAGAAGACAAACTACTATAAATCTTGCATAGTATCGGAGTTTCTTAACAACCAACTCAGGCCTACAGTTGACAAAAGAGAAATCAATCATTATATTAAAACTGAAAACATGCTGTTTTGACTTCTGGGTGACTTTTAAAACTTTATCATTTTCAGAACAGAGATAAAAATTTCCACATAAAACCACATAGCCTTAGCTTGGTAGGGTAGCACATGCTTCTAATTTCACAACTCAGCAGTGGAGGCAGGAAGAGTTCAAGGTCAAGTATTGAGTGCAAGCAACTTGGGGTACACGAGATCATGTCTTAAAATCAAAACCCGATAGCCTTTTAAATACATTTTAACACACTGATTGAGTCATTTTATATTCGTTCATTCTACAAGCATCTACAGAGAATTCAAGTGTATGAGAAATAATGCCATGATGGGGCTGGAGAGATGGCTCAGCACAGAGAACTCGTTTCTCTTGCAGAGGATCTAGGTTCAATCCCCAGCACACATATGGTTCACAATAATCTCTAACTTCAGTTCTAGGGGAGCCCCCCTCTTCTGACCTCCTTGGGCATGAGGCATGGATGAAGTGCACATACACACACGCAGGCAAACACTCATACATATAAAATAAAAATTTAAAATCTAAAAAGATAAGAAACAGCTGGGTGGTGGGGGACGCTTTTAATCCCAGCAGTTGGGAGGCAGAAGCAGGCAGATCTCTGAGTCTGAGGCCAGTCTGGTCTATAGATTGGGTTCCAGGACAGCCAGGGCTACACAGAGCTCTGTCTTAAAAAAAAAAAAAAAAAACAAAAAAAAACCCAACAAAACAAAAAACCCCAAAACCAAAAAAAACAAAATAACCCAAAAGAAAGAAAAAGAAACAGTGCCATGATGCTAAAGGACAATGATTAAAAACAGAGACAAAAATCTCTACTTCATAGACTTACAGATGGAGTAGTAATTAAAATATAGATGAGTTAAGTGAATAAACAAAACAGTGGAATAAATATGATCACAAAAATAAATAAATAGCTGGGGTGGTGGTGGTGGTGGTGGTGCATGCCTTTAATCCCAGCACTCGGGAGGCAGAGGCAGGTGGATCTTTGTGAGTTCGAGGCCAGTCTGGGCTACAGAGTGAGATCTAGGAAAGGCGCAAAGCTACACAGAGAAACCTTGCCTTGAAAAACCAAAAATAAATAAAACAAACAAACAAACAAACAAACAAACAAATAAATGAAAGATGAGTCCTACTCTGATTTTAATTTGACATGATCCCACTAGCTCCTATTATTGAATACTTGGTCCTCAGATATTGGTGGGTCTGGAAGGCTCTAGAAGTAGGTTGTTGGGGGCTGTGAGTAGGTCTCGAGGGTCACTGGACGGGTCTCACTTCTGTCTCAGACCTCTACTCCTTGCCTGTCTACTCAAAGTAACAAACTGCCTCCCAGTCCTCATGTACCATCCATATTCAAGCAGTTTCCACCACCAGGTTTTCCCTGCCATGATTAACTATAACTGCACAGTAACAAGAAAAATAATGATATAAGTTCACACAGTTGGATCTTGGTTGGAAAAGGTCTTCCTAAAGAAGGGAGTAAATTTTTAGGACTAAAGGAAGAAAATTCTGTCTTTGTTTTGAAACCCCATTTTTTTTGACATTAATACAACCTTTTTATTAATACAAGCCTTTTCAGTGCTTCCTGTTTATATGAATGTCTATTTAGACTGTCTTCTTATTTAAGCACATCTTTTGTAAATAGAATATAGTAAAGTTTTCTTCACTTGTGATCCACTTTCCACTAAGATGATACTGTCTTCTTGTGTCTAATGTACATATGCCATATACAATGAACGATGAATTTATTTTATGCTGGACATGGTAGTATATGCCTTTAATCCAGCACTCTGGAGGCAGAGGCAGGCAGACCTCTGTGAGTTAGAGGCCAGCCTGGTCTACAGAGAGAGTTCTAGGGCAGCTAGGGCTGTGTAGTGAAACCATGTCTGCAAAAAATGAAACAAAACTTATTTTATGTTTATGAGTTTTTTTCTTATATGTATGTCTGTGTACCATGTATATGCCTAGTCCATGAAAAAATAAGAAGAGGGCATTGGAACCCCTGAAACTGGAGTTAGGGATAGTTGTGAGCAAGCATGTGGGTGGGAGGAATTAAATCTTTAAATGCAATAAAATCCTGCAGCAGATCACATTTCTTCTCTAGCTGTACCCTCATCTGACTGTTGCCAGTCAGCCTTGTCCCAGTATCTACAACCTCATTAGAAGATCATCTTCAGATAGTACCTCACACACACCTTGCCCTGCCTTTTCCCAAGCACTTGCCAAGGTCTCATGTGTATGGCAAGTATTCAACAGACTTCTACTGGGAATCCATGAATTCTATAAGACTCCATGAAGCAAATAGTGGTGGTCAATTGGGCAAGCTAGCCCAAACAGTATTGTGCTTTTGTATTTTGGGACTTTTTTGAGACAGTCTCACTATGTAGACCTATCAACCTCCAACACACAGAGCTCCACCTGCCTCTGTCTCTCCCAAGGGCTGGGACTAATGACATTTGTCACACTTCACAGCAGTGGGTTTAAAAAAGAAAATTCAAAGAAAACTAGCAGTCTTTTCTCTGGTCGAATGTAATAGTTGTCAATAGGCTTTTGAAGACATATGAGTAAAGACTACATGGACTAGAAATAACAAACACATTAGTTAAGCCTAGCTTTAGAGTCCTTTCTTCCCTATGAAACCTGTGCAACCTATATCTGTCATAAAGAAATAGCCTCACTGACAAGATGGCTCAGTGGATAAAGGTAGTTGCCCAAAGACCTGAGCTGGATTCTCAGAACCTGTCTGTGGTTGAAGTAGAAAATGACTCCTCCTACAAGTTGTCCTCTTACCTTCACATGTACACATGGACACAAATACACAGAGTAATAAAAGGAAAAGTATTTTTTTTGCACCATTTCCACATGGACTAAAATGCTGAATGTCTTGTCACCTTTCTGAAAGCACAGCTGACACATACCTGTCCTCTTTATTAACTTGAGAGTAGTATGATCTCTGTCTGATCGCAGAGTAGAAAGAGAAAGCCTCATTCAGATAGCTGGTCTCAGATGTTCGTAAACTATAAGAAAGAATTTAAATATGACCCAAACTGGATGTATTCTTCATGAGAAACACTTGTTCCAGATTGTCCTACTCTGCACAGTAGGATGCAGATGTCCTAACTCTGAGTCAACAAAGTATTACTAATATTGTCTTTCAATTGTGTAGTAACAATAGCAACAATAAAATATTTCCTGCTCCTAAGCTTTTTGGAAGCCAACCAAAGCACATGTCATTCTCATTCTACAAAAGGACAGCATTCTCCTTGAGTATATCTGCTCCCAGATCTAGACCTTTTATAACCTCTCCCTAAGTAGCCATTACTTGAACTTTGGCCCATTTCTTTAGCTTTTCTCTCCTTACTAACCCAGACTATTCTTTGAGGGATGCTAATGAGCTATGTAGTCTGTTTAGCATGTCTAATTTAATAAGAAACTTTAAAAATAATTTACTTTAAAAAATTTACTTAATGCCTTGGCAATTTTACATGTGTGTTGTATTTGTTTAATGATGCAAAGATGTGCTGCATTCTTTTATGTTGCATTTGTTTAACTCTGTGAAGCTGTGTTACTGTGCCTGTCTAAAATACCTGATTGGTTTAATAAAGAGTTGAATGGTCAATAGCAAGGCAGGAGGGAAGGATAAGTGGGGCTGGCAGGCAGAGAGAAAAAATTGGAGGAGAAATTTGGGGAGAGGGAGATCAAAGAGTGAGAAATGAAGAGGCCAGCCACTCAGGCACACAGCCAGACATGGAATAAGAAGAAAAGAAAAGGTATACAGAAATAAAGAAAGGTAAAAGCCCAGGGGCAAAAGGTAGATGGGATAATTTAAGTTAAGAAAAGCTGGCAAGAAATAAGCCAAACTAGAGCCGGGCATTCATAAGTTATAATAAGCCTCTGTGTGTATGTATTTGGGAGCTGGGTGGCAGGCCCCAAAAGAGTAAAAAGTAAAGATTAAAATAAACAATAATTCTGGTTACTCTTTCCTCTCTCTCACCTTACTATTCTCATTAAGTCTTATTTCTTCCTGTTTCTTTCCCAGATTCATGACATGGTTTTGTTGTGTGACCCATTTAGTTTAACCAGGGCCATTTATGCAACCATCAGACAGGGACTATCTTCGTGGAGCCTGGTGAGGTTACAAGTAAGTACACAACTGCAGTACTGATCGACTATCAGTGGGAAATGGCTCAATATTGAGTAGAGCTCCCTGACTTTTCCATCAAGGTCGGGATGCTAATGGGCCCTTTTAAGTGCAGATCCAGTGTAGACATCTGTAGGTGTTGAGGGTTCATGATTACAATGGCTGTGTCTTGTCCAGAAGATGGCATGTCCCAGCCCCTCTCCCTATCTATAGGCTGGTACTATCTTTCTGTCCCTTCTTCCATAATTCCTGTTCCCTGAGTCTTGGAGGGATGGCATACATGTCTTTTCCAAGGATGAACACTCCAACATTCACTTATTCTCAGCACTATAACGAGATTTTAAGGGATTTTAAGATCTTTTTCTAGCAAAGAGGGATTTTAGTGGTGAGCACTCTGAGTGCCATGTCAACACCAGGAAAATGAGGGCTTTTCTTATCTTTTTGTTTTGTTTTATAGACAGGGTTTCTCTGTGTAGCTCTGGATGTCTTGGAATTCAGTCTGTAGACTAGGCTGGGCCTCCAGCTCACAGAGATCTGCCTACCCGAGATTAAAGGTGTGTCCCTACTTTTATTTTTTTTTTTAAACTTTTAAATTCTAAAAGACCCAAGTCTTTTGTTACTGATGTTATTTTGTGTTGAGATTTACATTTGTAAAAGGAGATCTCTTGTTTCCTTCACTCAAAGGTAGGTCTACACAGATGTTACTATTCTAAGGATGCAAACAACTGTCAATTTACCTCATAGAACCTTTCAAACATAGCCAACTAGGATGAGTGTTTAAAGAATTCTGTGAACATTCAAACATACATGCTATGTGTCTCTTCACATCATCAAGACTTAAAAAGTTCTAAAAACAATACATCTATTTAGTATTCATCATTAGAAAACCAAGATCAAAGTCCCCAGTTCTGACCAAATGAGTTACTGAAGAGAACACCTGACACAAACAACACTGCTGGAATTATACAAGGCCATTGCATGGTGCCATCTTGATCCATCTGGCCTCAACAAAATTCCATACATAACTCACTGTCCTCTCTCCTACATATTCTGTTTTAGCCAAAGAAACACTTTCTTCTTTCCATGCATAATTCACTTACTAATAGTGGTAATACAGCTGCCCAATCTTGGAAGCAATTTCCCCTATTTGCCACCGCTTCAAACCGTACCGATTATCCAAGACTTGTCTGGACAGGAGACAAAAAATAGAAATAACAAAATATAAATTTCAAAAAGAACCAGTTCTGTAAATTCAATGATAAAATACCATCCAATTTGCACAGCTTATGAATTATAAGATTTCAACATAATCATTCAACTACATTAAAAAATGTTCATTGATTGATACACACACACACACACACACACACACACACACACACACACACACACACAATCTGTGCATACATATTTGTGCATGAGCAAGTGATTGTGTGAGTGCAGGTGTGTATGTCATAGCTCAAGTGTGGCAGTCAGATGATAGCCTCTCACCTTCTTGGTCACCACTGTACACGAAGGCTAGCTGGGAATTCTTCTGTCTTTGCTTCCCATCTCACCAAATGATTGCTACGATTACAGTGTCACACTTGTAAGACAAACACTTTACCTACTAAGTCACCTCTCCAGCCTCAATTGTTTTTGGGGACACGATTTCATGTAGCCAAGACTGGCCTATTTGTGTAGCTGAGGATGACCAAGAACTCTTGATCCTATTTCCACCTCCTAAGTACTAGAATTATAGGTGTGCACCATCACACCCAGCTGAAAAAATATTTATTAAATGTTTACTGAAGGGCAGGCAGGCGCAACGGCGGGTGGTGGTGGAAACACAGTTGCAATAAATACCAGAAACTGAGCTATTACCTGATGAAAAGTTAGTAAAAACAAGCCGGTGCTACAAACAACTCAGGCTTGCCCTGCCGAACAAGGGCCCCTGCTTTTAAAGCCAATGCGAATGGTTGGAGCTTAAGGAAGCTGGAGGCAAGGCTTGACTCAGCTCAAGCGAGAACACGTAGCTGATTTAAGCTTTTAGCCAGAACTTGTGGCTATGCTTTCTTGCGCGCGTGCGCTCTCTCTCTCTCTCACTTGATCTTAAACCAAAGGTCAAGAAGCACTGAAATATGTTATTTTAAAAGCTCTGAGACTCAGCTGGCAAGATGAGTTAATCTGCAGAACCCCCCCCCCCTCTCTCTCTCTCTCTGTAAACCAAAAATAAAGACCAAAACAAAATGCTAGGTTTGTTCATGGTCAGAACTACAGCTAATATACAATTATACAATGCACCTTTACTCCCTTTAGCTATGAAACTCTTTACCGATGCTGTTGCTGGAATTTCCAGAGTTTGGTGTAAACATCAAAAGTTCTTCCAAAGTAGGACTGCCACTGCTTCTGTCCGTACTGCGGCAAATCTCTGTAAAAATAAAGTGTGTGTTCACTTTAAATTTTTGGAAATTTTGTCAATTAAAGTATTTACACTCAGGTTTTCTCTGTTAAGCCAAGTTCCAATTTTTTGAAGCAAAAATAATTCTAGGGACTAGAACACATGTTTTCCTAGCCTTGCACTAAGTTACAGTTCATCTTAGTGTCCTCTGCACTTACTTTTCCCATTGGACACAATCATATCTTCACTGGCAGGTGATATACTTACTTGGGTACTGCTGATTTCCAATGTTTATGTTTAGCTAAGGCAGCAGTAATCTGGAAACACTGCTTTAGGAAATACAGATATAAATCGAAGTGGGTGTGTAGTTGGTGCTCTTCTACTTCTTAGAAGAAAAATACATGTCCTTAAGTCTGCTGACCTGTGGTATCTGCCTTAGAGAAACAAATACTCCCTACTGTATGAACATTGGGCCTAATCATATTATCTTGTTTGGGGCAAAGAATAGAATTGTAGTTATTCCATTTTCACTTCACCATCTGATCTAAAACTGACTACTCTATAGCCTGCAACACAGAGAAGAGATATTTAATGGATTCAGAGAGCTGCAGACAACTCACAGGTAACCAGGGAATTAGAAATAAATTCCCATTGTAGTAAGGCATGAAAATTTGGGGACATTTGTTATAGGAACAGTATGTAAGAAAAGATGGTGTAAAAACTGGTGTTGAGAGCAGGCTGTTGTGAGGGACCCCAGCATTGGGCTGAGGAGCAGGTAACTATCACCAACAGCTGGAAATGGGCCATTGGTAGAATGGCAGAACTCTGCCTACTGTAATTTGGAATGCAGGCAATGTGACAAATGAACTTGGGAGTCTATACAAGAAGGCAGAAATAGAATGTTTCTAGCTAGTCCTGGGTTGTATCAGTTAGTTGTACTTTAATAAAATGCTCTAAGAAAAAAAAAATAAATTCTGTCAAAGGGGGAGGGGAGGAATAAAGGAAAAAAAATAAAGGAAAGGCTACAAGTAGTCGAAATAGAGAAAATCTACAAATTCATGAGATTTCAGAACTGAAAGATACAATTTCAAATACTTAGCTATAAAAAACACAACTAAGCCACACACATGTAGCACTTAAGCAAAAGATCTAAGCGGGGGGG